CTCAGTTCAGCCACCCGAGAGATGTGAAAATACTGGACCAGGGAGACCTAAGTTCAAAATCGAAGAAGACACCCTACTGCAGTTCAGAAAGCTAGGCTTCACTTGGAAAGATATAGCTCGACTCTTACTCGTGTCACGTTGGACTCTATGGCGACGAGTACGAGAGCTTGGTATTGAGAAGAAAATTGGCTTTACTGATATCGAAAATGGGGAGCTTGATTACATTATTCATTCTTTCATGACAGCTCAAGGATGTCTTGTTGGCTACTCGATGGTTCGAGTACCACCCCTTCAGTGCAGAATCCAAGATGGCGGGCATATTTAAGGGAGGAGAGGCTAGAGCAATTTTTGTTGAATGAATATTCGCCAATGTCCGGGAACTTACGTAAGAAGTCTTGAACGAGTATTTAGGTCTTGGTCTTGAACATAAATCGAAGGTTGAATTTGGATACAAGTTGTTGTTGCATGCCGAATTATATAATGTGTATAGATAAACGAAGGCAGCCTTGAATAGAAATATGTATCATTGAAGTTGAATAGATATGATGTGCTGAACATAAATAACGAAGGTAGAATTTGAACACAATTTTGTAGTTGAGTGCAAATATAAGTGTTGAATATGAATAACGAAGGTTGAATTTGAACACAATTTTATTGTTGAATGTAATTATATTTTGTTGAATATAAATATACATGCTGTTGAATTTTGCAACATTTGGCCAACCATATCCCTATGCTCTCTTGATTATATAGAGAGAATGTAAAGTCAACTGTCKTAACTGTATTGAAGCTATTCATTCTTCAGTCATGGAGGGGCGTAGAAAGTGCATCTCGTGCTGTAGTTCATTTTGGCGCCGTCTTAAGAAAGACTTGTTGCTTCCACTAATAATATTGGGCTCAATCCTCGGCTTTGTCATCGGCGTTTTCGTAAGTGGCCCGATCAACAGCATCGAGAATCCCGAGGAAAGGAAAACTGTGCTGATGTTGATCGGTTTTCCTGGTGAACTTTTCATGAATATGCTGAAAATGATCGTTCTACCTCTGATTATTGCAAGTTTAATCAGTGCCTTGGCGTCGCTGGATGCAAAAGCAACGGGTAAAATCGGGCGTCGAGTACTGGTTTTTTATCTTTCCACGACGGTATTTGCTGCAATCGTAGGCCTTATCCTAGTACTGAGTATTGGACCTGGTAAAATGAAGAAAGATTCCAAGGATGGCGATAACGCTGTAAAATACCGAACATTGGATTCATTCCTGGATCTTTTTAGGTAAGACTGCTTCAGAATTGAATTTATTTTACAAACACTTAATTCTTTCTCAGGGCCGTCTGGCTTTGTAAAGAAACACGCAAGGGCACATTTTCTTGGAGGGGAGGGGGGGTTAGAAATTTGGTAAGCAGAGTTCGGTGCAAGATCACAAAAAAAACCGGATTTTTTAGATTTGTAGTTGTTGCGTGTAACATCGCTTTAATAACGTAGGAATATTTATAAAATTCAAAAGTTCCTCCCATCATAGTCTCCTTTGCAGCCGCTGTTAGTGTAGTCACTTCACGCCCACTCCCSTAAGTAGGAAAGTGAGCGTGCGTGACGACCTTCCAGTGCTGTAGACAAAACACTCGAATTCTTCACTATGGATTCCCGACTTGAGTGGAATCACGTAATGTCAACAAGACGCATGGTTAGGGACGATTAATACATGCATATTGTATAGAACGGTCTGAACCAAGGTGAATGAATGTTAATCGAAGTATTATGATCATTCGGGTGGATGTAGTCCTGAGAAGGACTGTTTGATGTGACTGACGTTTCGACAACCTGAGCGGAAGTCATCTTCAGAGTCAAGTGAAGAATAAAAGTCAGATTGGTCATATTTATACTGCCACGATAACAATAGCCTAATTACATGAAGAAGCGTAATTGGCGGCATGACTTCCGCTCAGGTTGTCGAAACGTCAGTCACATCAAACAGTACTTCTCAGGACTACATCCACCCGGATGATCATAATACTTCGATTAACAATACATGCATCTTAAAGTCAAACCAGGTCATGCGTTCCTATCAAGGTTCAAAGATTCAGTTTATTAGACTATGATGAAACGAACGGTGTAAATTTCAGTCCCGGCCTTTACCTCAAAAAAAAACAAAACCAAAATGTTCACTTGTGAAAGGACTTTTTGAACAAAACAATACACCACACAAATAACTTTAAAACGGTAGCTATAATGCTATAATTGTAGAAATAATTTTAGCTTTGCACGAATCTGTGAAGAACGGCCCAGAATTCAAATTTACAACGTTCGTTTCATTAATGTCGGGATTAATGTCAGCTTCAAAGCWAGATGGAAATCAAACTTCGAATAATAAACTGAAWCTTTGAAACTTATAGGAACGCATGAGCTGGTTTGACTGTAATCATAATAATGATAATGATATACAATTAATATAGTGCCTATCGAAGACTGCTCTAGTACTTGTAGACAAGAGGGCATGCCCTATTATTTAATCATCATAAGTAGATAAGCGCCCAGTTGTTCAAAGCGCGATTAGTGCTAATCCTGGGTTAACTCTTAATAAGACCTATAGAGTTAATCCTGGATTAGCGCTAATCCAGCCTTGAACAACCCGGCCAAGATATCAAGTTTTAAGGATCAAGTTTTGAGACCATAAAAGTCGTCTTCTTGTAGTGTTGAAAATTTTTTGGCACACTTCTCTTCCTTCCTTCCTTCCTTCCTTCCTTCCTTCCTTCCTTCCTTCCTTAACTCATATCACATCATATTATATTTTGTTGTATTTCCTAGGAGTATCTTCCCTAGCAATCTTGTCGCTGCCTGTTTTTCCAAGGTATGATATTTCTACTTTCTGTCCGTAAGTATTGAAAAAATATAAATTGTTGTTTATGCAATTTCTTTGGAAACTTTTCACTTGTGGCTCACCATGGAATATTCCCTTGCCACTTGAATTTTCTCGTATATACTAACTGGCACYCAGTTAGCTCAGTTGGTAAGAGCGTCGGTATGTTGTGCTGGAGATTGTGCTTTAAGCCTCGGCCGGACAAACACTCAGGGTCTTAAAATAACTGAGGAGAAGGTGCTGTCTTTGTAATTACATCTGCAAATGGTTAGACCCTCACGTGGCTCGGATGGCCACGTCAATGGCGGTCCCGTCCCTAATCAACTAGAGACGTTAAAAGAGGACCACGAGTTTATCTGTTGAATTACTGTCAAGTGTTATYCTCTATAAACAAAGTTAATTAATTAATTTAACTCACCTAATTCAGATCCATTGTATAACCGGTATTTTTTCATCAATTTGCTATATATTCCACTATCATTTACAATGTTTTGCTATATTGTGTGCTATGTATTCTTCTCTCTCTAGAGTGTCACTCAGTACTCCTCTACTAATGGAAAATACAACTCCTACAACGCCACCAATAATGTCACGCCTAGCTCTCGTACCACTGTTAAGGTGTTCAATAACGGCACCCATAATATCACCATGGTGACGCGCGAGGTATACCCGCCCAGCCAGACCATCCCAGATGGCTTGAAGACCGTTTCTGGTAGCAACGTACTTGGGATTGCCTTGTTCTGCGTGGTTTTTGGCATCGTGCTGAGTCGTCTAAGGGAGAAAGCACGGCCACTCAAGGACTTTTTCGTTGCTCTGAATGAAGCCACAATGAAAATCGTGTTTTTGATCATGTGGTAAGTAAGAGGTTGACTATGATGCATATTACATGTCATGTCGAGCTAAGTTGACCTCCTTTACCAATCRCAAAGCCAAGAAAGGTCAAACAATCTTATTCAAGATTGGGTAGAGTAGTTTATACAAACCGACTACACTATGTACTGAACTGCTCGCACAACACACCACAGCACAGCACAGGCATCATTATATCACTTATGCTTTTTGGTTGGTATGCAATTTTCACCAAAAAGAAATGATTCATGCTAAATGTTTTCGAAATGCGCGTTGCCTTGATGGTGATTGTTGAAAATGATTGCCAAACCTCACAGTTAGTTTGAAATCCATAAACCAAAACAAATATCTATACTTTTTTTTAAATATATCTCAGATATGATTTTCACGGTTTCATTTAATGATTTTAAAAACTAAAATGCAAGCGCTTGCGCAAAAATTTTATCCGTGACGTCATAAGATTAGCTTGACGATATCATGCCTTGCGGGTGTGTTTTCTTGACGTCATCATTGTCGTTCCCAGGTTCGCCCCTGTTGGTATATGCTGTCTAGTGTGTTCGAAGGTTGCCCAGATTAATGACATATCGGCTACGCTAGAGATGATTGGTCTGTTCATGGTGTCCGTTATCTCCTCGTTACTTATTCATGGMATTCTCGTTTTGCCGCTGATGTATTTCCTCTTAACTAGAAAGAACCCGTATAAGTTCATGTTAGGGATGGCAGACGCCTTGGTGACAGCATTTGGCATAAGTTCCAGGTAAGGTATCCTATCCTGAGGTTTGGTTCGGTTTTTTTTAGTTCGGTTAATAAACTAAATCTTTAGGTTCGCAAAAAAATATGCCATGCGCCTCAATTATATTGAGTCCTGAAACAAGCTCTGGGCTGACCTGAGTCAGGGCATGGCTAACTCACAGATAGAACCCTGAAACAACCTCTGGGCTGATCTAAGTCAGGGCACGTCTAACTCAAAGATCGAACCCTGAAACAAGCTCTGGGTTAACCTAAGTCAGGGCACGTCTAACTCACAGTTCAAACCCTGAAACAATCTCTGGGCTGATCTAAGTCAGGGCACGTCTAACTCACAGATCGAACCCTGAAACAAGCTCTGGGTTAACCTAAGTCAGGGCACGTCTAACTCACAGATAGAACCCTGAAACAAGCTCTGGGTTAACCTAAGTCAGGGCACGTCTAACTCA